AGGAGAGGGAGGGATGACTCCCAAAGAGGGACTTCCCTGGTGGTCTAGATCCCACACGCCCCAACTAAAAAAAGATCCCACATGCCACACCAAAGATCAAAGATCATGTGTGCCAAATAAACAAATGCTTTTTCTTAAGGAAAAAAAAAAAAAGAATGACCCCCAAAGAAATTGACCATCACACATTGCTGGTGAGGTAGTAAAATGGCAGAGGGCGTGGAGAGTGACTACTAATGAATACGAGCGTCATTAAATGATGCAGAGAAAACAGGTGGCAGAACACATTTAAGAGGGACTGGTGCCTATGGGACCTCCAGGTACTTATGCCCAGTAGCCAGGAAGGTGGTGAGTCTCAGGCTTCTAGGAGAAATCTTGGTAGGAGATGGCGACTTTGGAGTCATCAACTTGATCATCAATGGTCATTGATGTTATGGGAAAGGATGCCATCACTTAGGAAGAAAGTGTAGTGTGTGAGGGCTGTGGGCCAAGGAAAAATCCCTGGAGAATACTGACATTTAGGGGACCAAGGAAAAATCCCTGGAGAATACTGACATTTAGGGGATGGTAGAGAAAGAAGGGTTCATGCAGGAGCCAAAAGAGGAGCCTCAGGAAGATTTGAGGAAAAGCAGCCAAGTGGGAGGAGGGATTGTCATGAGATCCCAGGGCATTGAGATAAAAGATCCAATTTAAATACGCGACGGACCGTGCAGAAGCGTGGCCGTGAGGAGCTACCCCTTGCCCAAGGTCAGGGGTGGCAGCCGAGAGGAGCTACCCCATGTCCAAGGAGTGGCGGCTGCGCGGGCGCAGGAGGGCTGAGAGGAGCTACTCCACGTTCAAGGTCAGGAGGGGCAGCCATGAGGAGATACCCCTCGTCCAAGGTAAGGAGCAGCGGCTGTGCTTTGCTGGAGCAGCCGTGAAGAGATACCCCACGTCCAAGATAAGAGAAACCCAAGTAAGACGGTAGGTGTTGCCAGAGGGCATCAGAGGGCAGACAGACTGAAACCATAATCACAGGAAACGAGCCAATCTGATCCCAGGACCACAGTCTTGTCTAACTCAATGAAACTAAGGCATGCCATGTGGGGCCACCCAAGATGGTCGGGTCATGGTGGAGAGGTCTGACAGAATGTGGTCCACTGGAGAAGGGAATGACAAACCACTTCAGTATTCTTCCCTTGAGAACCCCATGAACAGTATGAGAAGGCAAAATGATAGGATACTGAAAGAGGAACTCCCCAGGTCAGTAGGTGCCCAATATGCTACTGGAGATCAGTGGAGAAATAACTCCTGAAAGAATGAAGGGATGGAGCCAAAGCAAAAACAACACCCAGTTGTGGATGTGACTGGTGATGGAAGCAAGGTCTGATGCTGTAAAGAGTAATATTGCATAGGAACCTGGAATGTCAGGTCCATGAATCAAGGCAAATTGGAAGTGGTCAAACAGGAGATGGCAAGAGTGAATGCCGACATTCTAGGAATCAGCAAACTAAAATGGACTGGAATGGGTGAATTTAACTCAGATGACCATTATATCTACTACTGTGGGCAGGAATCCCTTAGAAGAAATGGAGTAGCCATCATAGTCAACAAAAGAGTCTGAAATGCAGCACTTGGATGCAATCTCAAAAATGACAGAATGATCTCTGTTCATTTCCAAGGCAAACCATTCAATATCACAGTAATCCAAGTCTATGCCTCAACCAGTAACGCTGAAGAAGCTGAAGTTGAACGGTTCTATGAAGACCTACAAGACCTTTTAGAACTAACACCCAAAAAAGATGTCCTTTTCATTATAGGGGACTGGAATGCAAAAGTAGGAAGTCAAGAAACACCTGGAGTAACAGGCAAATTTGGCCTTGGACTATGGAATGAAGCAGGGCAAAAGCTAATAGAGTTTTGCCAAGAGAATGCACTTGTCATAGCAAACACCCTCTTCCAACAACACAAGAGAAGACTCTATACATCGACATCACCAGATGGTCAACACCGAAATCAGATTGATTATGTTCTTTGCAGCCAAAGATGGAGACGCTCTATACAGTCAGCAAAAACAAGACTGGGAGCTGACTGTGGCTCAGATCATGAACTCCTTATTGCCAAATTCAGACTTAAATTGAAGAAAGTAGGGAAAACCACTACACCATTCAGGTATGACCTAAATCAAATCCCTTATGAATATACAGTGGAAGTGAGAAATAGATTTAAGGGACTAGATCTGATAGACAGAGCGCCTGATGAACTAGGGATGGAGATTTGTGACATTGTACAGGAGATAGGGATTAAGACCATCCCCATGGAAGAGAAATGCAAAAAAGCAAAATGGCTGTCTGAGGAGGCCTTACAAATAGCTGTGAAAAGAAGAGAAGCCAAAAGCAAAGGAGAAAAGGAAAGGTATACCCATTTGAATACAGAGTTCCAAAGAATAGCCAGGAGAGATAAGAAAGCCTTCCTCAGCGATCAATGCAAAGAAATAGAGGAAAACAACAGAATGGGAAAGAATAGAGATCTCTTCAAGAAAATTAGAGAGACCAAGGGAACATTTCATGCAAAGATGGGCTCAATAAAGGACAGAAATGGTATGGACCTAACAGAAGCAGAAGATATTAAGAAGAGGTGGCAAGAATACACAGAAGAACTGTACAAAAAAGATCTTCATGACTCAGATAATCACGATGGTGTGATCACTCACCTAGAGCCAGACATCCTAAAATGTGAAGTCAAGTGGGCCTTAGAAAGCATCACTACGAACAAAGCTAGTGGAGGTGATGGAATTCCAGTTGAGCTATTTCAAATCCTGAAAGATGATGCTGCGAAGGTGCTGCACTCAATATGCCAGCAAATTTGGAAAACTCAGCAGTGGCCACAGGACTGGAAAAGGTCAGTTTTCATTCCAATCCCAAAGAAAGGCAATCCCAAAGAATGCTCAAACTACCACACAATTGCACTCATCTCACACACTGGTAAAGTAATGCTCAAAATTCTCCAAGCCAAACTTCAGCAATATGTGAACCATGAACTTCAAGATGTTCAAGCTGGTTTTAGAAAAGGCAGAGGAACCAGAGATCAAATTGCCAACATCTGCTGGATCATCAAAAAAGCAAGAGCGTTCCAGAAAAACATCTATTTCTGCTTTATTGACTATGCCAAAGCCTTTGACTGTGTGGATCACAATAAACTGTGGAAAATTCTGAAAGAGATGGGAATACCAGACCATCTGACCTGCCTCTTGAGAAACCTATATGCAGGTCAGGAAGCAACAGTTAGAACTGGACATGGAACAACAGACTGGTTCCAAATAGGAAAAGGAGTGCGTCAAGGCTGTATATTGTCACCCTGCTTATTTAACTTATATGCAGAGTACATCATGAGAAACGCTGGGCTGGAAGAAGCACAAGCTGGAATCAAGAATGCCAGGAGAAATATCAATAACCTCAGATACGCAGATGACATCACCCTTATGGCAGAAAGTGAAGAGGAACTAAAAAGCCTCTTGATGAAAGTGAAAGAAGAGAGTAAAAAAGTTGGCTTAAAGCTCAACATTCAGAAAGCTAAGATCATGGCATCTGGTCCCATCACTTCATGGGAAATAGATGGGGAAACAGTGGAAACAGTGTCGGACTTTATATTTTGGGGCTCCAAAATCACTGCAGATGGTGATTGCAGCCATGAAATTAAAAGACGCTTACTCCTTGGAAGGAAAGTTATGACCAACCTAGATAGTATATTAAAAAGCAGAGACATTACTTTTCCAACAAAGGTCCGTCTGGTCAGGCTATGGTTTTTCCAGTGGTCATGTATGGATGTGAGAGTTGGACTGTGAAGAAAGCTGAGCACCGAAAAATTGATGCTTTTGAACTGTGGTGTTGGAGAAGACTCTTGAGAGTCCCTTGGACTGCAAGAAGATCCAACCAGTCCATCCTAAAGGAGATAAGTCTTGGGTGTTCATTGGAAGGACTGATGCTGAAGCTGAAGCTCCAATACTTTGGCCACATGATGTGAAGAGTTGACTCATTGGAAAAGACCCTGATGCTGGGAGGGATTGGGGGCAGGAAGAGAAGGGGACGCCAGAGGATGAGATGGCTGGATGGCATCACCGACTCGATGGACATGAGTTTGGGTAAACTCCGGGAGTTGGTGATGGACAGGGAGGCCTGGCATGCTGCGATTCATGGGCTCACAAAGAGTCGGACACGACTGAGTGACTGAACTGAACTGAACTGAGCTGATATAATTCTTTGCCCACATTCCTAGTACCAGTCTATACCGACCCCGCTTTGCATGCATGAGTAAGATGAATTTAATGCAATGATCAATTCTCTGTAATTAAAAAGTTCCCTTTAACAAGAGAATTTTTTCCAACAGGAACATTTTTTAATTGTCCCCCCAACCCTTTGCTACAAAATGCATTTACAGGCAGACCTTGGATATATTGTGGGTTTGACTGCAGACCATGATAATAAATTAAATCTCAAAATAAAATGGGTCATGTGAATTTTTTGGTTTCCTGGCAGATATAAAATTTATATTTATACTCTACCATAGTCTATTAAGTGTTCAATAACTGTATGTCTGAAAAAACAATGTACATGCCTTAATTTTAAAGTACCTTATTGCTAAAAATTGCTAACCATCATCTGAGCCTTCAGCAAGTCAGAGTGTTAACATCAGAGACCACTGATCACAGTTCACCATAACAAATAGAATAACAATTAAAAAGTTTGGAATATTTCAAGAATTAACAAAATGTGACACTGAGACACAATGTAAGCAAATGCTGTTGGGAAAATGGTGCCTATAGACTTGTTCGATGCAGGCTGGTCACAAACTTTCAATTTGTAAAACACCCAGTATCTGCAAAGCACAATAAGGTGAAGCCCAGGGCTCCGGCAGGGTCCAGAGTCCGGCATGGCCGCGGGGGGGGCGACCGTGGCAGGCGGGAGGCAGCCTGTGGGCAGGACAGCTACCGCTCGCCGCTTGCCTCCCGTTATGCCAGACTGGAGATGTGCTTCCTGTTTAGCGACAAGTACAAATTCCGGACCTGGAGGCAGCTCTGGCTGTGGCTGGTGGAGGCTGAGCAGGCACTGGCTTTATCTATCACAGATGAACAAATCCAGGAGATAAAATCAAACCTGGACAACATCGACTTCAAGATGGCAGCTGAGGAGGAGAAGCAGGTACGACGACATGATGTGATGGCCCACGTGCACACGTTTGCCCACTGCTGCCACAAAGCTGCTGGCATTATCCATCTTGGCGCCACCTCCTGCTATGTGGGAGACAATACATACTTGATTATTCTCAGAAATGCATTTGACCTGCTTTTGCCAAAGCTTGCCAGGGTGATCTCTCGGCTTGCCGACTTTGCCAAGGAAAGAGCCGATCTCCCCACCTTAGGTTTCACACATTTCCAGCCTGCTCAGCTGACCACAGTTGGGAAACGTTGCTGTCTCTGGATTCAGGATCTGTGCATGGATCTCCGAAACCTGAAGCGTGTCTGGGATGAACTGCGCTTCCGAGGCGTGAAGGGTACCACCGGCACCCAGGCCAGCTTCCTGCAGCTCTTCGAGGGAGATGACCAAAAGGTAGAACAGCTTGACAAGATGGTAACAGAAAAGGCAGGATTCAAGAGGGTTTTCATCATCACAGGGCAGACCTATACACGAAAAGTAGATATTGAGGTGCTGTCTGCTGGCTAGCTTGGGGGCATCGGTGCACAAGATTTGTACCGACATACGACTACTGGCAAACCTCAAGGAGATGGAGGAGCCCTTTGAAAAACAGCAGATTGGCTCGAGTGCAATGCCATACAAGCGGAACCCTATGCGCTCAGAGTGGTGCTGCAGCCTGGCCCGGCACCTGATGGCCCTCGTCATGGACCCCCTGCAGACAGCATCTGTGCAGTGGTCTGAGCGCACACTCGATGACAGTGCCAACCAGCGAATCTGTTTGGTGGAGGTGTTTCTCACTGCAGATACTGTACTGAATACGTTGCAGAACATTTCCGAAGGATTGGTGGTATACCACAAAGTAATTGAGCGGCGCATTCGGCAGGAGCTGCCTTTCATGGCCACAGAGAACATCATTACGGCCATGGTGAAAGCCGGGGGTAACCGCCAGGATTGCCATGAGAAAATCAGAGTGCTCTCGCAGCAGGCAGCTGCCGTGGTCAAGCAGGAAGGGGGTGACAGCGACCTCATCGAGCGCATCCAGGCTGATGGCTACTTCAGTCCAATCCACTCCCAGTTGGACCATTTGCTGGATCCTTCTTTCACCGGCCGTGCATCCCAGCAGGTACAGAGATTCTTAGAAGAAGAGGTGTGTCCCCTGTTAAAACCATATGAAAGTGTGATGAAGGTGAAGGCAGAATTATGTCTGTAGAGTTGGAAGAGAATTAAACAAAAGCCATTGTTGGCTCTGTTAACTTAAAAAAAAAATAAAGTGAAGCCCAACGAATAGAGTTCTGCCTGTATTCTCCTATTGCATATATAGTTCATATTATAACATCCTTTTTGGATAAATGTCCTACTAATAAGAGACATTTCTAATTATTAAAATGTATACCAATTAATAAGCCATAAAGATATATTGTACAGCACAGGAAATACAGCCAATATTTATAATAACTTTATTTTTCTTAATATATATATACTTTATTGAAGTATACTTTACTTACAATGTTTCAGGTGCACAGCAAGGTGATTCACTTATACATATATACATACATTATTTTTCAGATTATTTTCCAGTATAGGTTATTAACAAGATATTGACTATAGTTCCCTGTGCTATACAGTAAATTTTGTTGCTTGTTCCATATCTATTTTTTAAATTAGAAATCTAGCATTCTTTTCATACCAAGTCAGACAACTGGAATCAAAACATCATAAATGTTTAGCTAGGTAAAAATTCATAAGTTTCCTAAAATATACATTATATGAACTTTTTATATATGTGTATACAAAGGCTTTTCTACTACGCTTAGAAAGAACATAAAAAAAAGTGAAACTGGAAAACATAAGTAAATGAAATAGGAGCACCGAATATGAAATAGAAACAGTGAAACAAACTAGATAAAAGTAAAAGATCCTCATATAGTCCAGTTGTTTTTAAACATGGCTGCTGATTAGAAACATATGTGGAGCTTTGAAGAAAAAAAGCCATACTTGGGCATTTATATTTTATCTTATATTCCAAGATAATTCTGATACACATCTGGATTTGAAAAAGTGATTACAGATTTTTCTATTAAATGGTAGTTTTGGTGGTCTAGAATATAATAACTTTAAGTGGAGTAAAATGTATAAAAATTTTGAATCACTTTGTTGTACACCTGAAACTAACATTATATTGTAACTTAACTAAACCTCAGTAACAATTTTTTTAAAAATACACATCAAATAAGCATCTTAGTCTCTCAAAACATGATTTAATTAAACTGCTAATGTATAAGCCGTATGTCTGGTCACTGATATGAGTGGTGTGACTCCAGAGGCTTATCAACACATCCCTTGTGGATGAGATTGTTTTTAACAAGAACATTGTAAGTTTCTCTTTTACAAGTCCCGGTCCCTGGGCCAGTTTCCCTGCTGCCCCTGCCCCTAGAAAGGCAGAGATCAACTCTCTAGGGCAGAATTAGTTCCTCCACACTCAGCAGTCCTGTTATTCTTGTAGATCATCTTGGAAATAGAAGAGGTGTGGTCCCCAGAAAACTGAAAAGTGAGCTGTCAGTGTGGACTCGGCACACATGCCCTAAGTTGCCTGCCTCACGTTTTGACAGTGATATTGAATGCTGACATTTATTAAGTGCTGACTATGGCTGGCATAAGCCTTTAACCATTTAGTGTTCAAAAATAACCTTATAAATACGGTTATCCTTCCCATTTCAAAGATAGGGGAAACAAGGCAAAGAGAAGTAAAGTGACCTGCTTGCTGCTGTCTAGCTAGAGCCTAGTAAGACTGGCAGCACTTGGCCTGAACTGTGATCTACCGCCTCTCAGGAGGGGCTTCCCTGGCGGCTCAGTGGTAAAGAATCTGTGTCAATGCAGGAGATGCAGGTTTGATCCCTGGGTTGGGAAGACCTCTGGAGTAGGAAATAGCAACCCACTCCAGTAGTCTTGCCTGGGAAATCCCATGGACAGAGGAGTCTGGCGGGTTACAGCCCACAGGATCACAAAGAATGACACAACTGAGTGTGCATGCGCGAACACACACGCGCACGCACACGCACACACACATCCCGCCTCTCAGGAAGCAGGAGCACGAAGCAGCACGGTGAGTTCGAAGTCAAGTCCAAGCTCTGTATCCTAACAGCTGGCTGTGCTACATTTGGCAACTTACGCACCCTCTCTGAGCCTCGGTTTTCTAATCTATACCAGGATATGAATACTCGCTCTGCCCATCTCACCCGTTTGTTGGAATGATTAGATGAGATGTATTCGAAACGAAGGCTTAAAACGACAAAGCTCTGTGCAAACGCGAGTAGGTGATACTATTATTTTCACAGAACCTCAGTCGGCAGAGTAGGAGCCCAGCACCGCTGATGAGGGGGTCTCAGCGATCCCGGTCCACGCTCTGGCGACACGATCTGCACTTTGTTGTCACTCTCCGCTTGGGAATCTGTCCGAGACTTGTTCGGGACTTGTCAATTCTGTCTCCACAGCACCTGACTCAGTCCCTGGCCCTGAGAGAAGCCTAGGACATGGTACTAGTTTGTGGGGGTAACAGTGGGAGCGGCAAGAGGAGGAGAGGCCCTAAGAGCAGCACTTTGAAGGAGTCACCTTCTGGGCGGCTACAGCACCAACCTGTGGCCAGCAGAGGGCAGCAGAGACCCTCCCGAAGCCCAGACCGTCTCAGCGCAAGCCCTGAACCCCGCCAGGAATCCGTGCGTCGCGGACCTTGCTTGAGATTTAGCCTCTCTCTAGGGAGGCCTGGTGTGCTGCAGTTTATGGGGCGCAAAGAGTCGGACGCGACTGAGCGACTGAACTGAACTGAACTGAACCAAGGGGTGAAAATTGCGCTCCGTTTGACTAAAATGTTCCCCGACCCTTTAGCAGTTTGCGAATGTCGGCCTGAAACTAGGGTAACAGGAGTCGTTTTGGTCACCAAGGCCATCCCCAACGTTCGCTAAGCCACTGCATCCATGAGCTCTGAAACTCTCCGCGAAGGGACAGTGGTGCTGCCCGCTTCCTTGCCACAGAGTTCCATGCGTTTGACAAAAGGTATTATCAAATTTGGAAAGAGTTCCTGGCTTTAGAAGATTGAGAACTGGAAACTTCTTTATTTTTTAATAGTGTATTCAAAGTCCCTTAGAGAGAGCTGCCATCTACATATTATTTTGATGTTCTATAGTTAATAGAAAGGCTCATAAGTCCGCATCGGGAGTCACTTAAAGTGGTTGAATGGATGGTAATTATTTTAGCTAGCAATGGAAAGAAGAGCCCAGCATACTGGTAAAGTGGCCTGCTTCTACTAATTGATGGGCCAGCCTTATTATTTTTTCCATTTGACACCAAAAGGCTGCTGGGACTAATGGCCTTTCAAGAGAAGGCAAAAGCTTTCTATTTATTTACCTTATTCTCTGGCTTTTACAGGGTCCCATTTTAATACCCCTTAATTACTCTATAGCAGTTGAGTGAAGGGGTTAAGAGTAATGGGCTATGGAGTCAGACAAAACCGGGCTTGAATCCTGGCTCTAACAGCTGCCTCGGCTGGGCCACTTATGCAACCGCTCTGAGCTTTAATTTCCTTATCTGTAAAATGGCAACACTAATTCCTGCCTCGAAGGGTTATTGTAAAGATTCAATGAGATGATGCATCTAAAGCACTTAGCCTAGAGCGGACCGATGAGTGCTCAGTAAATCATAGCCCTTGATATTACTCAAATATTGTAAGAATGCTACAACACATGCATGCGCAATTATGAACTCACATTGAGGATAGTCAGTGACCATGATAAAATGCTCAAATCAAACCCTCATAAAGTAATGAGGTTCAGAGGGATGAGGTAATGCCCCAAAGTTGGTTGGAAACTGCTAGAGATGGACCTTAAGTCCTGTCTGTCTGAGGCTAGAACTAAGTTTTCCATGTCAACTTTCTTCTGGAAGGGCAATCAACTCTTCCCTCCAGTCTGAGATTTCTCAGAGCCCTGCTGTAAGGGGCTGCCCTGCATCCCCTTGGACATCCATCCTAGAGACCATGGCTCTAACTGAGGCTGATTCCCAGAAAGCCGAATTATTTGCCTAACGTCACACAATTGGCTGAGCAAGGAGACCTGGACAAAGAATAGGAAATCCACTGTTCCTTAGCCTTGACCCTGTAGTTCTGGAACATAGAGTATAATTAATATTCAAGGCATTCAGTCATTCATACATATGGCACTGGGGATACAGTGATGATCAGGACAGACCCAGTTCACTGTCTAGTGGGGAAGACAGACAAGGGGATAGTCAACTGGGATAAACATGGGGTGGCCAGTGCTGTGATGGCTCCCAGGGAGCCACGGGAGCTCAGAGGAGGACAGCTAATCCAGACATCAGTGGAGGTGAGGGTGCGGGCCCAGGAAGGATCTGTTCTTTTTGTTGGCCAAGAGTAACATCAATTGGCCAGTGACACAGTGCTATCTGCATTCATTTTTTGACCAAACATTTACTGAATGAGGTCCCTGTGCCAGGCACTGTGCTAGGCACGATAAGATACAGCGATGACTCAGCCCTGGGTATTGCCCTTCTGAAAATTGGCGCTTTCCTTTAGGAAGTAGGAGGCATGGTGCTTTTCAGTTTATTCAGAATTATCAACTCCCTCACCTTCAGGAAACAGGGAACAATAAGTCTGAAAAATTCATTGGTTGGATTTCTGCCTGGTTAAAACATCTGTTGATTATTTGTTCTTTTTGCATCACAAACTGTGTTCTTTTGTGAGCAGGAAAGTGCACCTGAATTTCTGGAACTTCCTGTATGGTTATAGGTTGTGATATTAACTAGTGGAGTCTTGAACACTAACCTTTGCCTTTTGAGGATGAAATCAAACTCAACATCAGTGATATTAAGCAGACATGTTAGCACTGAGGTTTGTCTTTTGGTTTTGGCTTCCATTTTTAAATTCTAGTTTTACTCCATTTAGAACCGTGACATTTTGCACCATAAGTTTGTTCTACCTAAGTATATAAATTTTTTAACCATACATAAATGGAATCTTGCTACTTCTTTTGGAATTCCAAAGTATTTCTCTTTTCAGTAAAAAAGGCAATATACTCTCAGGGTGCCAAACTCTTCTGACTAGAGTTGGAAATGCTTCCAATTTCAATAATTCTAGAAGTTACTGACATTAAGCCAGTTAGTGGACAGATTACAATTACAGTTAGGTTTGGGGATACAAAGTCTTAGCAAAAGGGTTGGGAAATTCTGAAAAATGTATCCCAATTATCTTCCTCAAAGTCCCTTTTCTGTCATTAGTAAGTTGGATGCAAACTGACAGAAAATGAGAATGTCATGCTATTTTGGCCTATGTTATTTCAATGTATTTCACTTTTCAACTTCACAAAGAATATATTCAGAGTATTTCCAATGAAATCCTCTGCTGGTGCCTTGTCAACATGACTGAATCATTACCAGAAAACTAGGTTTTTGTACCATCTCGCAGGATCTTACTTCCCTGACCAGGGATCAAACACGGGGCCCCAGCAATGAAAGCTTGAGTCCTAACCACTGGACCACAAGGGAATGCCCTATAAATATATTCTAAGTAAATGATTCTTTAAGAAAATCTCTGTGGGCGCAGGTCATTGTAGATTGTTTCATAGAGAGATTTTAGGTGCAAGGAAATGGTCAGCTCCTGCATTCTGATATTATGATGAGCTCTGTGGCTTGATTTTCACCTTTTCTGGAGAATTATAGACTCGGATCTGCAATCTGAAGATTCCAGATTTGCATTGACTATGGGGTTGGGGAGGCAGCAACAAGTGTGCCGTTAGAGCATCAGCTTTTTCTTCTTTCTGGGACATTGTTTAAAAGTTCCCATGACTAAGAAAAAGATTCTTTAGACTTTAAAATGTTATAGAAAGCATATCACATGAAATTTATCATCTTAACTGTTTCTAAGTGTACAGTTCAGCAGTGTTCAGTATAGTCACAATGTTGTATTACATATCTCCAGAACTTTCTATCTTGCAAAACTGAAATGGTACCCATTAAACGACTCCCCGTTCCTCCCCCCATCTCTAACAGGTTTTATCAAGGGATTGCCACCAATCCTTTATGGGTCAGTGTTCTCACTAAAGGGAATAACTGTTGCAGAAACTGTTCCATCCCTCTCCCTACCCACTACTTGGGAACAAAAGAAAGATTCTGAAGTAGTGATGTTTTATCTTTTGTTAACGCAGATCTCAGAGCTGAGTTCTGTTTCCCACCATCATTGCCCACAAAGGCTAGGAGCAGAAGTTTTGAGACCATGAAATGCAAGGATTTTGTAAAAATAAAAAGTTAAAATTAATTTAAAAAAAAATTGAAATGGCAACCCACCCCACTATTCCTGCCTGGGAAATCCCATGGACAGAGGAGCCTGGTGAGTTACAGTCCATGGGGTCACAAAAGAGTTGGATATAACTTAGCCACTAAGCAATAACCAAGGAAAAAGTTGCAAAGAGATCCCCTTGGGCTAATAGAACATTTTCCTTAGAAAGGGGAGAGCTAGTTTGGGATTCTGGCTCTGAAGAATTTCAGGCTGTGTGACTACTACAGACTGAATGTGTACCCCCAAATTTATGTTTTGGCCTAATCCCCAATGTGGTATTAGGAGGTGAGGCCTTTGAGAGATTAGGAGGCCATGAGGGTGGAGCCCTCATGAATGAGATCAGTGCCCTTATGTAAGAGACCCCAGAAAACACCCTCACTCCTTCCCTTACCTGAGGACACACCAAAAAGATGACTGTTCATGAACCAGGAAACAGGTTCCCACCAGACACCAAATCTACCTGATATTGGACTTCCCAGCTGTGAGAAATAAGTTTCTGTTAAGCAACCTGTACGTGTATGTTCAGTTGTGTCTGATTCTTTGCGACCCCATGGACTGCAGCCCGCCAGGTTCCTCTGTCCGTGGGATTCTCCAGGCAAGAATACTGCAATGGGTTGCCATCTCCTACTTCAGGGAATCTTCACATTTTGAAAAAACAAATGGGTTACAAAATCATTTTCAATTATGTCAAGCTAGAGAAACAGTTATGGAAAGGGCAGAGATTGTTGTTTATATGGGAGAAAGATGTTATATAAAGATAGCTACTTCGTTTTATCTCTGGAGGGGTTCCTTTGTTTTGTTACACTTGATATTGATTTTTAGAATGGAAAACTGCTTTTACACAAGTCTCAACTGGCTTTGCAAACATCCTTATTTTGAATTCTTGATAGTTTTTGCTTCCTGAAAAAAGGAAACTTACTTTTTATTGCTTTTTTAACCCAGGTATTCAAGTGAGTTTCCAGCCCATTGGAAACAATTCCCATTCTTTCAGATCATAAAGTTCAGGAATGGGTGTGTTTGGGGGAGGGGTCGCAGCCAGTGAGTCAGAGTAGATGAAGCCATTTGTCAGTTTCTCAAAACTGTAGAGAAAAATGTGTTTATGGGCTCTAGCCCTATTGGGCCCGACTTTCCAGTTTCAAACCTTGATCCACCTGATTCCACCCCTTCCCCAGCTAGCTAGCATCTCATAAGATTATCAACTGGGAGTGTAGATTAAGCCCCATAGATAATATATGGGGCTGGCTTGTGTATGTGTGCAGTCAGCAAGAGTAAAATACCAATGGTAGTCAAAGAAATGCTTTTCAAGTTAGCTTTTTGGAAGTGAGGGGGAAAGTAAGAAACGATGGTTCTAGGCAGATGATCTGGGCAGGGATTTACTTGTATCAGAAGTGCTGGGGTCTTTCAGAGACAGGAGGCCTTTTCTTTCCTTTGTTAATGTGGGAAAATTGACTACTGCTTTCAGCTTTATACAAGAGAACTTCCAGGCTGAGGGATTTTCAGGGAAATAACATCAGATTACCCAGGTTACACCAAATGCCAGCCCTCTTGGAATCATTTTTTTCCCCTAAATAGCATAATTAAGAGTTCAACTCTGATGGTACATATTACCTTCTAAAACAGATGAATCTTTCTACAGTGAGCCAAGATAACACCCTTGTATAATGATGCATCTCAAGTGCTAGAGTCAGCCTCCACCCAGAATTTTCCCAAGCATCAACTAAAAAAGAACAGCACTTTCAAAGGAAAATAACTTTGAAGGAAAATGTACTGGTTTTTTCTTAGTAAATCTCAGAAACATATGTAACACATTGGAAAAACTGATCAAGACAAGAGAATCACTCTATTACTACCAAGGTTACCAATTCACTCATGTAAAAGCTGTAGTCTTTATTTACATAGCAGATGGGAGTACTAAATATCTAAGAGCCACCTTGATGGTAACCCTTGGTATTATGGTAGAGAGAAAAGAGCCCTGAGATCAGACCTGGGATCCAGCCTGGGCTACATGACCTTGGGCAGGTCATTGGCCAACTCTGAGCCTTGGTACCCACATGTATTACGTAAAGGTAATCATGTCAATCAGAGTTGCTGGCAAGTTTGCATGAGATCATGGACATGAACGAATTTAGAATTAAGAATAGCTTAATCCAGAGTTTTTACTTTATTAACCCTGTGAGCTGTGGGAACAGGGGGTGTATGTGTGGGGAATGTTGAGGGCAGGGATACTGGGATTGTCAGAGCTAAGTACCAAGCTCATGCTGGACTATGAGCTGTCTACCAGATTGGAGAGATGGAAGAATTTGGAGAAATTGGTCATTTCATCCGGAACAATCTGCAGGGAGGTCCCGCTGCCTGGTCCTGGACCCATGTGGGTATCCACCCAGGTGGCCCCAGTGGTTCTGCCCTGAAAAGAAAGTTACTGTTTTCTCAGTGCGACTGACAGTGGAAGAGCTACAGGAAAGATCCTGTGGTGATGGCAGTCAGGCAGGCCCCTGTGTAAGGTTGTCAGGGGCAGACAAGCACATGTGGGCTGTGGAGACCCAAGGTCCTCCTTGGAGGGAGGGCAGCCAAGAAGTCATGGAGCTCATCTAAGAATGCTCTGGATACAGAACTTACTCTAGGTCTGGCTTGGGATGGGACAGTTTGCTTACTAATTTGCGAGTTACTTGTCAGATTGCTCAGTGATTAGAATCACTTTTTTGGAATTGAGTGATCAAATTTTCCAAGTGACAGTATCTCATTCATCAGGGCCAGCCTGAGACCTCTTCAGCTTCCCTTCAAACTTCAAGGATGCAGGAACCATCCTACCTCCCAGCCACTCTGTGGGTCTTGCCAATGCCATTAACAGGGAAGCTGGGCATCATCTGGTTAAGGCTAGAAAGCGTCAGGCTGTTTCTGGAATCTCTCTATTCAGTTGGAAGAGTGGGACAACCCCATTGGGTACCACGTGGTCAGTGTTGATGTGGGCAACTGTTCTGAGGGAGGGTAAGTTGGCCAACTGCTAAGTAGGACGGCAGTGAGCACAGAGGGTGAAATTTGTCACTTTGGGGGGAACAATCTACAGGTTTGCTCCCCACCACTAAACAGCTCTTTTAACCATCTTATATGCTTAAGATTCACTTAACAAGTTTAAAAAACAAAAACAAAAAAATGTGCTGCGGGGCATAGGTGCCAAGAAAAAGTATAGAATTTCAGGGAGAACAGAAACTTGCTTTGAACCCAGTGCTCTTTGGTGGCAACAAGAAAAAAGGACAGTGATGTCTCCAGACCCTCTGGATTCACAGTAGAAAACCAGAAGCAGGTTCGGAAAAAGAATTCTCTTCTTTAAACCCATGTTCAGTAAAAGAACAGATCTCTTCTTCTCTCTGGAGACGGGCTTCCTGAAAAATAGAATAAGCTTGATGAGGTAGCAGCTGGCTTGGTGCCCAGGGAACCCAGGCTTGAGTCTTGACCTCACCGCTCCTAGCTGTGTGACCTCAGGCAAGTTACCTAGCCTGAGCTCCCCTTTCCTCATCTGGTAAATGGGAATACTAATGATACCTATCGCCTACATGAGTTAAACATGTGTGAAGCCCTTAGAACAGTGCCTGGCACAGATAGACTCAGAACTATTTGTTAAAGAGGTAGTGTCCTTATGTGGAGTAGAGTAGAATTATCGTGTGGTCACACTGCAGCTAGCTTACTGGGTAAGACCAAGGACAGAAAACGGACCCTGGCACTTACCTTGACTCTGGGCAAGTTACTTAACCTCCCTAAAACTCCATGTTCCCATCTGTGAATGAGGATAAAAACAGCACCCGTGGTGTAGTGAGCTATGGGTTCTTATTTTACCTCATTTATGTGGTTATTGCCATTCTCTGCACCTTCTAATGACTTTTGGTTCATGGCACCTCAGCCAGCCATTTGCCATGGTCACACACTATACCTTGTCATCACATACACAGGTGGCACCCCTACCATCTCAATTTCAAACCACCATCTCCCGATGTCATTGGCTTAAGCAGTCTTATCACCAGATTTTTACATAATCTCATCCTCCAATCCATCAACTTCTACTACCCGGCACCTTCCACCTGCCTCCATTTCCTTCTTTGAGCAGCTTAGATACCCTGATCCCGTGTTATGGTCCCTCATTCATCATGCTCACTTGTCAAAATCTCAACGCTGGATAAGCCAGTTTGGCTTCTCTATGCGTTACATTAACCCAACAACCCTGGTGGAAAAAAAAAAAAAAAATCACACAAGTCAGCCAGCTGTTTCCACTTAAACTCATGATGTCAGCCTTTATAGCTGACTCAAAATCATTTGATTAGTATATTTCCAACTCCCCACAAGCAAGCCTGCAAATCTAATGGCATCTGTTTCCTTATTCCCCATCTTTTGTCTGCTTTCAATGGTAGAATGTCCCCTCCTCCAAGCAAATGCCAATGCTTCCCCACATCCTTGCAATTGTCTCCAGCCATGAAGTTATTGTCATCCATCTCTTCATCTCTGTATAGGCTCTATTTTTATTTTTTTTTCTTTCTGGTCACCTGAGGGTTTTTTTTTTTTTTTTTGAGGCTAATTACTTTTCTGTATAGGCTCTAATATTTGCCTTCTTTAAAAAATAAATAAATAAAAGACCCTCTCCACCCCACTAATCTCTGTAGCTACTACCTTGCTTTTATTCACCTCCCTCAATGCTAAGCTTCTCCAAGAAGCTATTGCCATTTACTATCTCCACTTTCTCAGTTGCCATTCCCTCTTCAACCCACCCCATCCAGGTTCCGTCCACATGCTATTAACTGCTATTACTGCTCTTAACTATGTTATCAAAATCTCTGATGCCACATCTAATAGAAATTTCTCTGGCCTTCTCTCATTTGATCTCTCGGAAGCCTTTGACATAGGTGATCACTCTCTGTGTTTGGAAACTTTCTCCTCTTTGAGTTCCTGTAACACCACACACACTCTCTGGTTCTTCTCCCACCCAGGGACTGCTCCTTCTCTATATCGGCCGCTCGGTTCTCATGTCTCCCAACTTCTAAATATTGGCACACTCCAGGACTCTGTCCTCTGCCCTTTGCTCTGCCTGAGTGATCATTCAGTGGCTTGCAGTGTCATTTTCATACCGAACAGTCTCAAAACTTTACTCAGGCTCTTCCCCACTTCTGAACTCCACACTTACATACAACTGTTGGAGAGAGCCATCTGTTTGCATGTCTTATCATCACCTAGAGTGAATGTGGCCAAGGCAGAGTTGTGTTCTCCTACAATCTGCCTCATTTCCACACATGTACCAGTATCCAGAGTTGCTCATGCAGGCAAATGAAAACCTAAACACCCCACACATTAATAGATCTCAAACACATTCACTTCATCCAGCGTCCACGATTGCCATCTGAGTCGGGCCACCATCTTGTGCTTCTGGCCTCCTAATTAGTGCTTTCTCCAATGCATCCTCTGCACAGTAGCTCTATGGCCTTATTAAATGCAAACTGGATCACACTTCAAACCCTGCCATGTCTCACTGAGTCACTTAGAGGAGAAAATCAACCTCCCACCATGATCCAGAAGGTGATGTGTCACCCAGCCCCAGTTGACCTTTCCAGGGCTCACTCGGCCCACACTCATGTTTCTCCCATTCCTCACTCACTTCTGGTCTGGGCAGGGCAGCCTCCCCACCTTCATCCCAGCTCTTTCTAAAGCTCCCGGCATCCCTCAGCCCATTTGGGTCCCTGTTCACACATCACTTCATCACAGAAGCCACCCTTGACCCCCTTTATCCAAAGCTGACCTCTGTCTTGCTCTGTTTCAACACTTGGTATGTTTCCTTCAGACTTACCGTAACTTGCAAACACTTTATTTTGTCCTTTTTTGGTGGAGTCTACCTTCCCCACTAGACTAATAAATCTGTGAGAGCAGGGACCAAGAGAGTTTATATACTATTGTATATGTGTGTATATATATATATATATATATATATATATATATATATATAAGTGCACCATGTCTGGTAATATTTTCTGTAGACATTGAAGGAATGTACAATGAATCACTGTATACTTCTGCAGATTAAAAAAATCAAATTCACTAAATATTTTGGCACCAGTTTTGGGGAGTCCCTCCAACTATGCTTCCAGTAGATTGCTCTTCTCTCCACATGGTCTCTGCCTCATGTGGGTGTGTGGTACCCATTCGAGAGGACTAGACCATATTGGAGGGGCAGGAGGGGGTCTGCCTTCCTTCAACAAATATTTATCTGGGGTCTAACAGAGGAAATCTTTCAGACTACCAAAATCCTTCCTGATAGTTTCATCTAGCTCACTTCAAAATCAGGTCAATATATGGGAACTCCCTGGCGGCCCCATGGTTAGGACTCAGCGTTTTCACTGCAAGGGCCCAGGTTCAATCCCTGGTTGGGGAACTAAGATCCTGCAAACTGTTTGGCATGGCCAAAACAAAACAAAAATCCCAAATCAGATTAATACAAAATAGATCAAGACTCAAACATATAAAGAGGCTACTGAGTTCCATGCCAAAACCACTCAACCAGGAAGTGATGGCACAGAATCTGGGCATTTCACAAGCTCCCCTCTGGTTTTCAGCATCAGGCAAGATGGGGAAATGGGTGCTGTGCTCTCTTAAGAATGTGGGCTCTGAGGGGTGTTCCTGGTCCTCTTTTCATCTAGGAAGTCATCCCCTTCCCACTCTCCATGTCCTGCTGCCTCCCTCTGCCCAGAGCCACAGTGGCAAAATGGCCAACAAGGGGCTGCTGGCATAGCTAGGTACCCATTCCACACTTCCTATTCTACACATGGTCCTTTCTCAGGGTAATACTGCTCCTTTGCATGCTTTCCAAGTTTCTGCACCCCCTCATCTTACTCAGGATACTGTCCTGGCCCACAGATGGACAGTGACCCCATATACAGTGAAGCAATCATACCAGTTGCTAGTCTTCACTGCTGTACACTTGATTTAAGTTGGAATTGTTTTTGATGATTTATGTTTAATGTAATTTATGATGTTGATGTTATGACACTGTGAGAGCAGAGAAATAATTGTACCCCTGCCACTTGCTGGATGATCTTAAGCCAAATCCTTTCACCTGTTTGAGACTCAGTTTACTCATCTATAAAATGGATATATTCATTTCTTCACTCATTCAACCTCTATTTACTGCATGCCTCATGTAAGGCACCTAAGATGTCCTCATACATGAATCACAAGGTCATTGTGGGAACTGAGCTCATAGCCACCACTGATACATGGTGTTGCTGTTAATTTGGGCCTATGAGCAATTGAAAGCATCAGGCTTTTGGTAATTCTAAGGCTTACAATTTTTTTTAATGTATAAGCTCTTAACGAGTACTTAGGAGACTTGATAATCCTGATTTCATACATTAGAAGGTGAGCTATCCATTTAGGAAGACTTCCATGAAGCCTGATGAAACTGTACTAAGGCTCTTGGATCAGCCCTAAATCTATCCCGTCACTTGGGCACAACCAATTCCTCACGGAGGGTGATTTGTGACTTGCTTGTTTCACACAACAGCATCAAAAAAATTTAATTTATACTCTATTGGCAGATAGATTTTTACCATTTCCTTTTTTGATGTTCTTTTATTGTTTCTGGCTTCTGCTCACTCATTCATTAGACACACATGTTCTGACCTCCATGCCAGGCACTGCCACAGGTGCCAGGATGGGTTAGGACACCCCTCAAAGTCTTGGCCCTCAAGGAGTGGACATTTTCTGGAGGTCTACATACTTTGTTCACCCCACTCCACACCAAACTGTAAAGTGCCAGCGATTCGAGGCTGTGGTGGCAGCTCTTCCCTTGAGGCCTCTCAGAGAACAGTGGAAGGCACACGGATGCCCTGCCTAAAGGCACTTTTTGCTGCCTTACCGTGCGCTGACTTACTAGAGCTCATTTCCATTAGAATTTACATGTCAATACATATATGTAAATTAATCCTCATCAGACATCTGATGAGGTGGACATTATTTTAATCCTCCGTTTATAAATAAAGCTACTGAGGTATGGAGAGGTGAAGAAATGTGGTTAAAGTTCTTGAAGCTAGTAACTAATGAAGGTGGATTCAAACCTGAGCCATTAAGGTCCTCACGTCAAACCAGAGATTGTCCTCATTGGGCGGTTCTTACTGACACCACTTTCAAATTGAATGTGGAGCCCAGAGTCCTAGCCTTTGGTATCAGGTGGCATTTTCTGACTGCAGAGTCCTGGGGTGGCCCTGTGTTCTAGGCTGAAAAGTGAACATCCGGGAAAGAGCAGGCTAACCTTCATGAATTTGTTCATTTTCCTGCATCACCTTGGTTACCTCGCTAAATCCAGCTCAGATAAAAGAACTTAATAGAATTGCTTTTACAGCCAAATTAGAAAATGGGCAAAACATTTTACAAGATACTAAGTGCATGGGCTCTTTGAGACTTAAATGTAACCAATTCTAAGGGTAAAAACACTAAATAACAGAAATGAGGGTCATTTCAGTTGCTGGAGATCCTGGTTTTTCTGGTACAAGTTTGTTCTCAGGATGCGGAGACAAGATATAAAAGACAGAAGCAGATACTCACTTTCAACTGCAAAGCTGGCACCGGCAGGTCCACCATCAGGGGGGAAATAGATTTTCTTAACTAGGAAAGAAGAAAATATGATTGGGAATGAAATCAGGGACTGGGTTAGAAAGTGCACAGTAGCCCCCCAAGGAATCCCAAATCATGTGCTCCTCAATTTTGACATCTGACATGCTACAAAAACAGACACTTCTGTTTTGTATGCCCTTGGGGTTTTTTTCCCATATTATGGGCAGTGTTTCTGATCAAGGGTTGCCGACTTCCTCAACAGATCCTGGACTGTCAGCCACTGATTCATCCAGTGGATATCAGCATTAGTTGGAGAGTGTAAAGAGTTGGCAACAGTCGAGACTTTGGTGATGAATATTTGAGAATGCATCTAGAACTTTCGGGACTATGATAATGCCTGCATTGTGGCTTTACCATGATGTGCCTGGCATATACTAGATGCTTGCTAAATCTTTGCTAAATTTGATTTGAACTGCATGGGCTTCTTTTGTTTGGGACACAATGATTTGAGCTGTGTTCTAACCATCCATCGAGACAGGGTTCCACTGTGTGTGTGCACAAGCATATACACACAGTTGGCCTCATTTTCCCCTCTGAATCCAGCAGGAATAGATTTTTGAAAAAGAGTACAAGGGTGGGAATTCTCATATGTTTCCCAAGCTTGACATTTTTTTTAAGTTTACTCTTTAAGTACATTGCTAATCAAACTCTGCAAATGATGGGATGGTATTTTAATGGGAAATTTCTTTTTGACATTAGGATGGAACACGGCATCTGACTTAGGTAAGCTAGGCTGAATAGGCCTCGGTGTAACATAAATATACTTAGTTTGGAAATAAAAGCAGCTTCTGGCAATTTCTTTCAGGCACAGACCAGAGAGCTGTAAAAGAAAACTCATCCAAGGTGCAAAAAGCCAGAAGATGGAGACTCAGCCCCAAGAAACTATGAAACATCTATTATTACCAATATTTCATGTGAAGGGCAAATCTTGTAGGAGAGTCGCTTGTTTTTTTGGTCAAAGTACACTTCAGGCCAATTCTTTCCCATCCTTTTACAAAGAAGAGAGTCTTGTTTCTCGATGGGTATTTTTGCAACTAGTAGGTGCTAATTAAATATGTCGGGTGAGTGAGTAAATGGAATAAAACAGTGAATGAGCGTTAAGGAGGTTTTCGCCTGGGGGAGGAGTAGGGGTCAGGGAGCAAAAGCCCCAGACAGCCAGGCACCATGAACGGTCTCCAGGCAGCAAGGGGGCGGCCTCCACTGTCGCTTTGAATTTTAATGTGTGGAGCAGATGGTTGGTATAGACGGCCCTTGTTTCTACCCAGGAGTCTGGCATTATTGCAAGTAGCCAACCTGTTTGGGAGATAGTTTTGAGCCTATAGGTGTATCACTGAGTTCTGTTTTACACATGGGTTATCTGGCAGTTCACAGTAAAGTGAATGCAAGACCCTAAGATTTTAGGCAGCAGCCCATCATTTTTCTAGGGTAAGTCCGAGTCAACAGACCAGGTGAATATCCTGAGCCAAGTGCATCTGGCTGACTATCTATGCAACCCTTTAGTCATTAAATAGTGACTATAGATACAGCCTAGTGAAGATAGATGTTTTGTCCCTCAGAAGCCCCATAGCTGGAGAGGCAGCAATTAGTCTTTCCATCCCATCTCATGCCAACTCACTCTCAACCACAACCAATCAGAAGCAACCCTCCAACCATACTTAGAGGCATTTCCTTACAGTGGGCTGAGCTGGGAGGCAGGTTGAAGAGAAATCCTGTGCTTCCGGCCATCTGGGCAGAGTTGCCATCCTCCCACGAGGCAGATTCCTGAGGATGGGTTAGGCATCTCTCTGGCTGGAGGAGACTTAGGAGGGGCTCATACTTCCCCTCAGGCTGGGGCTCCGGAACCAAGTGCCCAGTGGAAAAAGCATGAGGGTAGCCAGGCTCTGGGAAGCTGGGGCTGGCGAGGGAGGAGAAATGCCACAGCTCACCAGGCTGAATGGAGGGGCCCCCGGTCAGGGACAGTGGGTACTGATCCATAGGCATGAGACCAGATCCATTCAAGTTGCAGCTGGCGGCGCCATTTGCAAAAGATACTTCTGGCTGTGGCTTTGTCCAAGGAGCAGAGAAACGCCACTGATTTGGAGGCATGTCACTGTCTGGGAAGGAAAGATTTAGAAGACAGGTTTGTTTATTGTTTTAAGAATGGAATTAGCTTTTTTTATGGTTAACACAGGGGCTTACCAGATGGCTCAGTTGTAAAGAATCCATCTGCCAATGCAGGAGACTCAGGAGATGCCAGTTCAATAAGATCTCTGAGTCGGGAAGTCCCCCTGAAGGAGGAAATGGCAACCCACTCCAGTATTCTTGCCTGAAAAATCCCATGGAGTTACAGTCCAAAGGGTTGCAAAGAGTCAGACAGAACTGAGCGACTGAACATGTACACACCTACTATGTATGGTTAATATAATGTATTTTTAATGTGAAAAATGTAGAGAAGGTTAAAAAAATCACTCTAAGCATAATATCCAGAGACTATGAGTGTCTATCTTTAGGTGTACTTCTTTCTATGATGTTTCTATATATGTACACATTGTTTTTCCAGTTGCTCTCATGTTATTAAAATATCACAAACATCCTGCTATAGCAACGAATAGAACCAACACCAGCTTTTCAAATCACTGCATGGTATGCCATCAGAAGGCAGTAACATGACTAACAAACACAATACTTGGGCAGCTCAGTTGTTCCATTTTTTCAATTAACAGCTTTGGAATAAGCATCTTCATATATACATCTCTATACACTTGTCTGACTAACCCCTCAAGGAAACTTCTAGAAGTAGAATTACCTGATTAAAGGTGATTTGTGTTGTTTGTTGCCATTGTTTGACTTTTATTTTATAGCTGGTGTTTTGAATACACTGAAGAGAAGAACCCTTCATAAAGTTTTGTGAAGCCTTTCCTCTTCAGTGTATTCCAAACGCCAGTTGCCGGTATCATACAAGTCTGGGGTTGAAATTTCATTTTCAAGAACAGTCTGGGCCATGGGGATGTTAAGAGACTGGACCAAGTTAGCAAAGCAGATTTAGCCAAGTAGAGATCTGAGCTAGAGGGGGTCAGTAATGGGTAGGAAAATGGTTGCTTCGTGTGCTCAGTCGTGTCTGACTCTTTGTGACCCTGTGGACTACAGCCCACCAGGCTCCTCTATCCAGGCAAGAATACTAGAGTGGTTTGCCATGCCCTCCTCCAGGAGATCTTCCCAACCCAGGAATCAAACCCAGGTTTCCCATATTGCAGCCTGATTCTCTACCATATAAGCCACCAGGGAAGCCCAGTTTCTTGGACTTCTTCCTATAAAAGCAAAATGTTCAAGGTAAAGCGGTGACTCAGGTTCTTCTTGTAAAATTCTTGTGGACTAGCTAATGGGGATGGAGTCTCCTTTGGTCTCAGAGACACTATTCAAATTGTGCCTCTAATAGCAGCTGAATTGGAGTTCTCAGAGTCTTGGGCAGCTTGACATGGACGGATGTTTTCCCCATTCTCAACACCCACTCAGGCAAGAGGGGAGGCGGGAGAGAGCCCTGGCAGATGGTGCTTAAAGCCTGGAGGTTCTCATCTATCCAAGATAATGAAGGGGGCGTGGGTGTGGAGACAAAGGGAGACTGAAGGGCTGGAGGGCTGGAGAGGCTGTCTGGCCCCCTGCCCTTCCTCGTGCACCTCACCCAGCACTCCTGAATGTTCAGTTTGCCTGGATCTTTTCTGATAGGTCTGCCCAGTGATGCTGGAGTGTCTCACCCACCAGCACAGCTTTTCACATAATATAGATGGTAAGGGCAAAACAAGCCCTCACCTACATAGCACAGATATTCTGCTCAACTTTTCACATTGTTCATGAGGGATAGGCAAAGGTTGGCTTCTTTTAATGAGGCCAAGGGCAGTGAAACAATTAGCAAGATTTGTTCTTGAGGATGACTGCTACTTTTGAAAACTGATATCTGCAGGGTAGTAGCGATTCAGGGCCCGCCGTGTAGCACAAATAGAGTGATTAAGCTGACTTAGGCTAATCACTGTTCCTGCTTCATATTGAATGAGGGTACTGCATGTCCTAAGCACAAATGAGAAACAATGTTTAGCCTCTGACAACTGGGCAGTTTCCATCTGAACTGGCCTTCCAGATCTCATACATAGGACCAAGGTTTGGAAGGCTTGAAATGTGGAAGGCAGGGTCCCAGCACGTTTTGAATATTTTCTTTAACTGCTTCCCTTCCAGAATCGTCTGACTGAAAGGTTAAGGGGAGTGGGTGGATGTGCCTCTCCAAGGTCCCACTTGGCCACTGAGTGCACCAGAGAACAGTTTGGATGGGAGTATGTGGGAAGACATAGAGAGTCCCAATCCTGAATTCACAGTAACCCAATTGTAGGCCTTGGGAGGCCCAGAAAAGCCACCTTTCCAGGGCAGGCTTGGGTGTGGTGTCCCATGGAGTGGACACCCTGGATTTTGGTGGCCGCTTTCTCAGGCTTCTTGGACAAACTGCTCCAGTCACCACACCCATCTAGTCGGGGAACCACTGGACTGGCTTATGGTGGCTGGTACAAAGAAGTGGCCCTGGTGATACTTCCTTACCCGAGTTCCCTCTCTTAGAGCCCCAGGCAAGACTCCGCGGCCTTCTCAAGCTCCAGCCTACACTAATGAATGGAGAGCAAGCAAAGAACACTCTGGAGACATTTTGGGAAGGCTAGGTTTTTCATATTCTATTTTTTTCCTTCAGATGTCAGTCCATACTAGGCAGTGTTTATGAAATATTAACCACCCCATATCTTACTATGTCTTAAAGTGGATGCAGCTTTAGCCTTTTTTTAAATCAAAATATAATTGGCTTACAATATTATTTTAGTTTCAGGTATACAACAGAGTAACTCAATATTTGTAGAGATTATACTCCATCTATAGTTATTCTAAAATATTAACTATAGTCCCTGAGCTATACATTACATCCTTGTAACTTCTGTCCATAGTAGGTTGTACTTCTTAATCCCCTTCCCGTATTTTGCTCCTCCCCTCCCCCCCAGGCTGGATCTTTCTTTCAGTAGGAATACAAAAGGCTTCCAACCCTTGGACTCCTAATCTGAGCATCTAGCCCCTGCCTCCAAGTTCCATCCATGCCTCTAATATTCATGAAGCCCCTGGTTCTAAGACCAGGTCCTGTTCAGAGAGCACAAGTCCCCATTTCCTCCCTATTCCTTTAGGATGAAAATGTCAAGCTACTCTCCCACCTGTTAAGCAAACCCAGAGACATCACCTATGCCCACCCATAGATGCTTCTGAGAAGCCCAGAACCTTCTAGAAAGCACCTCTAGGCATCAACGAGTTTGCTTCTACCCCAGAAGATCCTCCCTACACTCTATCCTTGCATGGTGGCCCTGACACCCTGTTCCAGGCTGGCTTCTGGACACACCAACTTCAATGTCAACCCCTCAAAGAGGCTCCCCCATAACAGCCAATGACACCGAGCATGTCCACTCCCATGGATGGAAGGGGACAATCCGTGTAAAAGGTTTAGCATGGCGCCCAGGACCTTATAGGCACTCAAGAAGTGAGAGCTGCTGCTGTGGTTAATATTATTAATTATTATTTTGGTTTAGAAACACAGCACAGGCTCACATTCACGGGTTTCTCTCCTGGCTTGCAACACTCTACAGGATCAACCAGGAAAAAGCCAAATGGTAACGCAGGGGGCCTGAGGAGTCTCTCTGCCCTCAGCCATCACAGAAGGGAGGGGAGGAAAGGCCAGAGCCAAGGAGCCTGGGCAGCAACGGTGCTTCAGGGCTGATGTGTAGGATGGAGTAGATACTGGCTATAAAAGAGAGCTTTCCGGGACTTCCCTGGTGGTCCCGTGGCTAAGACCCGCGTTCCCAGTGCAGGGGTCCAGGGTTCCATCCCTGGTCAGGGAACTAGATCCCACATGCCACAACTAAAGATCTTGCCTGCTGCAACAAAGATCAAAGATCTGTGTGTCAACTAAGACCCGGTGCAGCCAAATAAATAAAATAAAAATTAAGGGAGATTTCAGAAGCCTTTGCTCTGTGTGTCAATTCCCAGAAATAATCCATCAAAGGTGGGCAGGAAAGATTGTAAATCTCGAAGAGCTTTTGTTTACTAAGCACTTACTATGGGTCAGGCTCTTTGTCTAGCATTCTAGATGCACCTCAGGTGAGCTTCATGGCCATCCAGATGAGAAAATAAGAGAATCAAAGTGGTTAATGTAACTCGCCTAAGGCCACAGAACTAGCAGGTGGAGAGCTGGCTGAGTCTCAGCTTCATGCTTGGCTGGCTCTGCCTCCTATTATCTTGAGAATGCAGTGAGCTGGAGCTTTCACCCACTTCCACAGCTGGAAAGGTGGCAGATGAGCACAACGGGCATAACATTTGTGGCAGCAATTTATCTGCAGATATCAAAACCCTAAAATCTGAGTGGACTTTTTGATGTAGCCATTCTACCCACAATATATTTTAAGAATATAATCAATGATGCATGCAAAAGTTGAGCTGCAAGGATATTCAATGTGATATTTACATATAGTGAAAGATTGGCAACAATCTAAATGTCCAAAAATTTTAACAGATTTGAAACACCTATAAAAAAAGGATACTCTTGAGGCATAAAATGATGTCTTAGTAGAACATGAAATGGCAGTAAAGATATATATGGTTTATTACCCGTTAAAAAGCCAAGTGACGTTAGGTTGTAAAACTTAGTATGGGCGCCTAGATGTGCATGTGGTTTTGTGTCCTGAGTGCTTCTCTGTGTTTTGTAAAGTTTCAAAACTTAACACATTATCGTTGTGATTAGAAAAAGTTAGTTTTGCTTTTTTTTTCCCGAAAAAATTAGTTTTAAAGTAAAAACTTAAGAACCCACTTGACTCTGAACCTGAGTCATAGCTGTGAAAGGCCACTGCATAACTGCCTGGTTGCCTTCCATTTATTTTTCCTTCCTTCCTTCCTTTTCCACTCTGTCTCCACCTTTAATATAAATGCTGCTTTATGATGAAGTTGAAGTCAAGAAACCTCAGAACACACACACACATATCTTGCCTCATGAAGTTCCCAACTTTGGCCTGACCGATGTGCACACATTGACATTCCCCTCTCTGCCATT